TTTTTTTCCGATTGATTATAATTCTAAGTATATAGTACGTAAAATTTAATTAAGTATTTGTTATTAATGATAAATTTTATTAACTAATGCTAATTATTTATTCAACAATTAGTTTTTTACTGTTTTTTGTTCCCAAAAATCAATAAAATCGAAAGGAGCATGATACAAGAATGGTGAACTTTCAACCTCAGACCCCCCCCCTTGAAAAATTTCTGTGTGCGCTACTGCGTAGAAGTGATGAGTTGTAGGGGGCGTGACAAGCGACAATAGTGGGGGTGTACAAGGTACAAATAATATCTTCTTCAGATAGAGATAATTTTGGTGACATCCTTACACAGAATCCGAAAGAAAAATAAGGATCTCAAGGACCATTTCCAAAGGATCCAGTATCAAACCGATGCTTTTCACATTTTCATTATTCATATTTGAACAAGGCCGGTATAAAAATATTAAGACCATGGTTGTGTTATTCAGTTATTTTGAACAAACCATATTGTCACTTCCGTTGGTTGTTAGCAGATCGTCAATGCAAATCGTATTCCTCAGGATGGGTTAATGGTGTTTCGTTAGAAGCAATTTTACACAAACTATTACTGATCATGAAAATTCACATCAGCATATTAATTCGGCTCTGTCTTATAACAATTAGCTTCAAGGAAATACAATTGACATTTAATTATATAGTGAAATGAATAGTAAATTTACTTTTTGGCGAAACGTATTGCATCGAATAATTAATGTTATTATTACTTTAGCGGCTTGCAATTTACCTTTAAGAGGCCACGATTCCAAATCCGGAAATTTCACATCAATTGTACACTTGCTATCTAATTATGATCCTGTTTTAAAGGAACTTCTCTTGAAGCCAAAAAGGGAAATAATTTATCTCAAGTCCCACCATTCAAAATAAAGTAATTAATTTGCTTGGAACCAAAGTTAGAGAAAATATTGTTATGAAAATTAAAAAAGCCCCCTTTCTGACAATTATTATGGGTACCACACAAGATCTTTCTAAAACTGATCAACATTCTGTAGTGTTTCGATATATTAAGATAAAAGAAAAAGATGATGTACCTAACGAAATTAAAATCTGCGAGTCCTTTGTGGGATTTATGTCAGTAGCCGATTGCACCGCCCAAGGGATTAAAACTGAAATTTTAAATGCAATCGAAAAACATGGAATTGATTTGTCTAAATGTAGGAGACAGTGTTATGATGGAGAAAATGTTATATCGGGAGTATATGGAGGGTTACAAACCCTTATATAAAAGAGCATGCACCAAATGCCAATTACGTTCATTGTGCATCACATTCATTAAATTTTATTTTAACAGATGCAACAAAACACCTTCCCAAAGTGTCAGGATTTTTCGATTACTTAGAAAAAATACATACTTTTTTTTTGGCAATAGCACAAAACGCTGGGCAATGTTAATTAATGATTCTTCCGAAAAATATAAAATAACCCTTAAAAAAGTATGCCCTACTAGATGGTCATCAAGAAATGAAGCCTTATTCGGTATTAGAAAAAATTACTCTCTAATAATGAAAACTTTAAGTAAACTCTGAAGATCTAGCTAAGGGATGAGGGTGTAACATCTTTTTTTAAAAAATGAAAGACGAAAGCTAACAAAGCGCTTTTTTGACGAGTTAGCAGAAGATCAAAGAGTTTCAGACCCAGAATCGTTTTTCAAAGTTAATGTATATTATTGCTGTCTAGATGTGTTGATATCCCAAACCCGACAAAGATTTCGGAGTCTACATGATCTCAGTAATATTTTCAAAATTTTACAACCAGGTAAACTCTTATCCTTTTCAAATAAAGAAATAAAAGAGTAGGCCACAAAACTAGCTAATGAATACAATAAAGACTTAACACCCCGGTATCTATGAACAATTAATTTCTTTAAAAAGTTGTTTAAAATCCGAAATTCAGAAAATCCATTTAATCAAAGAGCTCGCAGAATTACTATTAATTAATATAAATAACCTCGCTTCCAGTTTTCTGGATATTATAACAGCATGCCTGCTATTTTTAACTCTTCCAGTTACAAGTGCAACAGCTGAAAGAAGCTTCTCTAAACTAAAAATTATTAAAAACTATCTTAGAACTTCTATAGGGCAAAATCGGCTATCAGACTTAGCAATATTGTCGACAGAAGCTGAAGAACTGAAAAAACTAAAATCCTATTCTACTATGGAAATCATCATAAAAGCATTTGCAGAAAAAAAATCGAGAAAAGTACTTATTAAACACAAAAGAACCTAGCTAGTGAGTGAGTGAATATAAACGTCGTACTCTGTTCAGCTACACGAGGGCTTTTGGTGACGGACCACGTAATTTTGAACCATGGTCAAGTAACGTGAACGACACCTGAGCTGCCACCCCATTTTCTCTAATTACCACACCAACGGGAGGGCGTCTGAGCTCTCTAAAGATTTAACGTGCATCGCTCCCCTACACGGCGGGTCTTTAGTGGTACTGGGCTCGAACTCGTGACAAGAACAGCCACGATCCGATACCTTGACTACTCGGCTACCACGGCCACCAAAAGTACCTAATTCTCTTAATTAATAAAGTTTTTTTACGTATATCTATGTGAAATTATTTCAACACTTTCAAATAAATTTTCTTCATGTGATCATTTTTACTTATTTTTAAAAAAGGGATCCCCGGAGGAATTTTGATACGGGCCCCACTCAGGCCTAGCTACGCTAGTGTGTTTTATTATAAGTTTCTGTTGACTGAGATACAACAAGTATGTACTAAAAAAGACCCTTGTGGCTGTACTTATGTAAGTCTGGCATGTGCTGGTAATAGACTCTTTTCGTGTTGCTAACGACCAATGTGAAAATCGAGTTATTGTATGTCTTGCTTATTCTGTGGTTTTACTTGTACTTTTGTGTTATTGTATTTATCTTTAGCAAGTATACACTTTCATAGAGAAATTATTTAATATTCGTTCCTCATGTGGATACAAAAAAAAAAATATTCTATATTGTAACTTTTTCTGTCAAAAATAATAAATAAATAAGAATTGTTTTTGAAGTTATACTTCTTTTGGATCGTTAGAGAAATAGGATGAGGGTGAATTTTTAAGATGCGCGCGCACACCGTCACGGATGTTACGCACACCGTCATGGATGCGGAAATGCTTTGTCTAGAAATATACAGAACGTTACAGATCATTGCCGCCTTCGAAATTCCAAGAAAATATATTTCTCTTCACTTCCCTGAAAAAGGGGACACGCGGGTTTGAACCGGAGGCCTCTCATTCTGCAGTCGAATGCTCTACCACTGAGATATACCCCGCGTCAGCTAACCCTTGCTTTGCATTCCTTAGGAACGGATACAAAAATGCTTTGATTAGAAATATTTTTAGAACGGGACAGATCATTCCCGCCTTCAAATTTCTCAAAAAAATATTTCTCTTCACTTCCCTAAAGAAAGTGGCTCCCGGGTTTGAACCGAGTACCTCTCGATATACAGTTGAATGCTCTACCACTGAGCTATACCCTCGAGGCAGCGAACCTTTGCTTTTCGTAGGGAACGGATACGAAAATGCTTTGTCAAGAAATATACAGAACGGGACAGATCATTCAAGCCTTCGAAATTCTCAAAAAAAAAAAAAAATTTCTCTCCACTTTCCTGAAGAAAGGGACACCTTGGTTTGAACCGGAGACCTCTCAAAATTAGCAGTCGAATGCTCTACCACTGAGCTATACCCTCCGTGTCTGCGGACCTTTGCTTTGCGCTGTGTGTGTGTGTGTGATTCATGTTATCACTACTAGTAGGGAGATATCGTCCTTCGCCAACGGAGCTTCTCTGATGCATTTGTTTGAACACTTTTTGTTATTAAACCAAACATACTTATAGGAAATTTAAAAAAAAAAATAGTAAATTAATCTTTAAATTGTGTTTCATGTACATAAAACATAAGAGTAAATATTATTTTACCTATTTAAATAACAATTCCAAGTATATGATTATAGATGTATTTACTACGAACGCATTGCGATGAACATAAACACATTTATATATATTACATTGTAGCAAATTATAAGAGCATTTTTTGTATTCGTATATTTATGTTTGAAGTTATCCTTCTTTTTGGGTGTTAGGGTAAAAAGGATGAGGGTAAATTTTTACGATGCGTGCGCATACCTTCACGACACCAATGCGCGCGCGCGCACCGTTGTCTAATGTTTTAACATGCCACTTTTTTGGTGCTATGGGACTGATATTTGGGGGATCATAATAACTATTGTTATAAACCAGGGGTGGCCAAACTTTTAGGATCCGTGGTCTGCTGCACATTTAAAAAATCGAAGGCGGTCTACCAATGACAGAGCTAAATTAACGTAACGCACATGTTTATACATTTATTTTCTGTAACAAGAAAAAATGGTAAATTATCTAATTTTCCTAAAAAAAACTTAATAAAATTACAAAATAAAAATTTACTGACGAAAGTAATCAAAGCATTCATATATCAAAAATTGACCATCCTATTCACTTCGTTTAGTTGAAATTTGGCACTGTATATCTGGGACAAGTTTATCATATTGTGGCTGGTACGAGCTTATTGCAATGCGTAAACACGAAATTAAATGTTCATCTGTTAAACGCGACCGATGTTTGGTTTTTATGGCGTTCTAGGTTGAAAAAGCAGATTCGCAAAGATACGTCGATCCAAAGTATGATTTCAAATACAAAATCAATTTGTAAATATTTGGAATTTAGTAAGTTATACTCATTTAGAATTGCAGAAGCTTTCGGAGTGTTCTCTTTATTCATCAGAAATTAATTTCCAAAAATCGGTATCGCTAGATGCTCTGGATTTAAAAATATATCGCATCTTAATTTCATAATTTCTTCC